TATTTTTCTAGATCCGCCCCTGCCTTAGAGGATACCTCACTGATCACTTCTACAATCCGAGACAGTTTGGACTGTCCAGAAACTCCTCCAGCTGGACCTCAGATCCCCTCAAAACTGCTGAAACCCACCAACCCTCACACTGTCCTAAATGTCTGCAGAGCCACTTTGTTACTGCTCTGAGGAAAAGTAGGTCTGAGGCTTGTTTCCACATTTCATCAGCTGATCGACCTCCTGCAGGTGGAGCTGCAGGTAAAAATAGACTCTGGCTCTGTGTGTGTTTCTGTGTGTGTGTTTAAGCAGCTCTGCTGATGAGTCACAGCTTTCACCATCTGTCAGCAGAAAACTCTCCCATGGGACCTTGAATGCACCACATATTCAAGTGCCAGGATGAACCTTACTGCAACTACTGTCATAATACTATAGTAATACTACAGTATTACAGCTTTGGGTCACTGAGGGGTAACAGTCTAGAATATTACAGACAGCTGAAGCAGTCAAATCCAGGCAGACTCTCCACACTTCTCACATCGGGACACAAAATGTCCTGCTTCAAAAGACAACAAACATAATATGGAGCAGCAGAAGGTTCTGATTCAGGGACCAGAACCCTTGAGGAGGACGATTCCAGAGAGGAGAACATCTCACACAGCTCCCATTTCTAAGCTGATGTCCCAACAGATTCAGCCTGAGATCAGAGCAGGAAGCTCAGAGAACTGACCAGAAACCCCAAGAGCTCCACCTCAGAGTCTCTGGGCCTCAGTTAGCGAGTTTAAAGGTATAGTGAAGGATTTTTGCGATTTTTAAAAAAAGGAATGTACATGTATAACCCTGTACCCGCTCCTGGGAGGGAACCCCTAATAAACTTGTGCAAGAGCATGTCAGAGCCCATTTCTCCTCGTGCACGCTCTGTTTAAAAGTTGCTGTTCTCATAGCTCATACTAGCTTACTGGGTCCGAACTTCCACCCTAAATCCCTAAATCACTATATAGAGTGGGGACTATATAGTGGACTATATAGCGAACTCTGTTAACTTACAGTTCGGACAGATAATCAGTGCTTTTTTGCTGCGTTGGTCACGTATCTCCTCCGCCATTGCGTGGTGCCTGCTCCATCTTTGTTATTAGTCCCCACTGACAGGTAGCGACAGCGGGCCGCTGTGACAGCAAATCCCATAATGCTTTGCGAGGAGAGCTCTCCACGCTAAGCATTATGGGATATATATATATATATATATATATATATATATATATATATATATATATATATATATATATATATATATATATGCCTCTTCTAAGGCCTTTCTTTTCTTCTCATACACTTCATAGACACTTTCTTTTACGACCCTCTGCCATTTTTTAAAGAACCACGGTAAAAAGTTGACCTTCAATGACTATTAGAAACCGTAGCTCACCACACCAGTGCACATGCTCAGAAAAAGATAGCTAACTGGGGGCGATCGCGTCAGACGGCCTTACATAAATATATCACCAGAATGATTGACAATTAGGAGGACTACTTATATAGATGATCCACTCAGAATTAAAAGATCATCCTCTATACCTTAAAGGTTAAGTCAGGACCAGGAACTGGTTTGTCAATTTTTTTGAAGGGTAGTTAGGTTTTCAAAGCTGCATCTGGATGAAAATCGTTTGTTATGTTCCTGCAACATCAAACCTTACAGGACAAAACTCTGTGTTTTTGTAATGATGGACCTTGATTAATACTGCGGCTGCCAAATAGAGCACTCACTTCCTGTCGGTGTGGTCCAGCCCGCTTAGCTTTACGCCTTCGATCCTCTCATTGCGCCGGCCGCAGGTGTTACCGTAGCTGTCGTAACCAAAGACGAGGCGTGCGGCGCCACCGGTGACGACAGTGAACCCACAGATGCTGCCCTGTAGAGCGTCAGTAAAAGAACATCGTCACACAAAGATATCCGTAGGACTGAAGACCATTTGACTGCAGATAGTTCACAATAACTATGATCAGATAATTATTCTGAGGTCTAATGAGAACCTGAAAACCATAAACAGTGGAAAAAATATCTGAGCATGTTCAGGCATGGCTAAGGCGTCATCATTTCAGAGAAGAGTGCTCATGCATGAAAAAAGGTGTTCTTGCAAAGTGTTGGATCAGTGTGGACAAAACATCTACACCAGATCATCTCTGTGCTGGCAGGGCATCAGTTTCTTCATTAACCGTCCTCTGACCAATTAGAGTTCAGCCAGAGGAGCTTTGAGCCAATCAGCTGGCTGCTCTCCTGCTAATTTCCCATTGAGGGTAAACAATGATATCACATGGAGCTGTTATTGATCCACCAATTTGGTCACAGCGGAAATCTTCTGTTCTGTGGTTAAAAAACAAAACCATACAAGGAACAATTTTCATAATATGGAAAAAAAAATAAAAAATCGCTCCTATCTGGAACCTTTCTCAAGGCTCCTCTGGGACTCCGACATTCTCCAGTCAGTGATCTGAAAAGCTGCCCTATCTGCTGTCCCTGAACGCAGCATCGGTTTTGCTCCCATTACACAAATAGTTTTCACGTCAGATTCTGCATAATAGAAAGTCAGCTACTTTCGATGCTATAGGTTAAAATTCCTGTAAAAATAAATAGCTCATAGATCCACATTACGTTTTCTCATTTCTGCTTCTGTCTCTGTGACCCTGAGCTTCTTAAGACCATGTCATCTGCCAGAGCATCTCACCAACATCCAGCATGCAGTGTGGCATCTTCAAGAAAACCACAAATATATCTAAACAGTCCTTTGGAAAGGCTGGAATTGCAATGACAACGTATCTGGGATCAAATGTGCAGAACATATTATTAACTTTATTATTAACTAAGGAAATATCCGATTATCTTGAGGAGAGACTGCTGCAGAACTTTGTTGTCTTGCAGTATGTGTGATTTCTGATAAAAACAATGAGGGACCATCTGAACCTTCCAGCAGGATTACAGTTCCTGGGTTTCTGTCAGGTTTGAGATGAGAACATCGAAAAGCATCTTACATGCAAGGCTACTTAAGCAAACTGTAAAACTGTACTGTAATGGTACTGTAATAGCCTACACATACATTGTCATGTATTCAATCAGTTTTTAAAGTAAATCTGAGAAGTATCACTGCATTATTACTGTAGTATAGTATATTTGCAATGCTTTTAAGCTGCTGTATTATTGAAGGATTTTAAGAGTCAGTGTTACTTCAGTACAACTTTAATACCATTACAGAAACATTGTCATTACAGTAATCAAATAGTAGTACTGTTTTATTTCTGTAGTACTGCAATAATTTTCAATAAAGTACTATAGTACTACTAGTGTAGTGTCTATTACAGCAGAGTATGATGGAGATTGTCTAAGTGTCCCAGCAGCATCTGTAGTATTATGGTGTGTCTGTGGTTACCATGCCAACGCAGAATAGGGTGAAGAGCAGGAACCAGGGCAGGTCGGTGCAGCTCCGGTCCTCCAGCGGTCTCCATTCTCTCTTTGTCCGCTGAAACACACACGGTTACAGTGAGTGCTGAGTAGGGCCTACCGGACCGGACCGGACCGGGCCCTGCCAGCCAGGTCCCCCCATTAATCCTGGGGATCTTTATTTGGGCTTGTGTTTACCAGCAGCGGCCCGGTAACGGCTCGGTAACAGAGCTGCTCTAATTGGATTAAGGAGCTACTGGCGGTAATCCCAGCTCTGGTCGGACAGGCTCGGCCCTGTCTTCTCCAGAACCAGCTTCGAATCCAGTGTAAATATCAACCCATAACTAGAAAACACAGGCAGCCTGCGGTATACAGGACCGAACCGGGCCTGCTTACCTCCGCGCTCCCGCAGCATCCCATTGCAGTCAGGATGGACGCGCCCGGAGCTTCACGGAGCTTCACGGAGCCTCAGCTCGGCAGCAGCGGGGGTCTGAGGCTCTGCAGGCGGGGGGGTGAGGAGGCGGGCAGCCCCGGAGGCTGGATCCGGACGGTTAAACGGATCGCTCCGGTCTACTCAGCATGCCACGGTGGAAAGATGACCGAACCGAGGACGGATTAACGGCCGAGGATTTGTCCCCCTCACTTCCTGGTGGACTGACAGGTGCAGCGGCCATTCATCTCATTGCGCATGCGCAGTGAGGGAGCGGAGCTGCAGCTGCAGTACCTGCTATGACCGCTGAATGGATGCCAATGGACGAGCCGGCGCTATTTCCCTGATAGCGGAATTAGGACCCGTTATTTATTTGGAGTCCAGAGCGACCTGTGCTTGTCTCTCTGTGCGGATCAAAGCTTCCCATCTGAAACAAGAGAATCCACCCCCACCATATTTCCTCAGCTCTTAATCATTTACCAGCTGCCCCCAAAGCATAGTATAAGTAAAGCCTGCAAAGGAGCAACAAGAACTGTGATCTGGTCCATCTGGAGAACAAAAGGAGACCAGCAGGGGCGGAGCTAGATGGGGGGCCAGGGGGGGGCATGGCCACCCTTAACAGTCATTGGCCACCACTACCATTTTTTGCCCCCTCTAATGCAGATGGTGGCAACAGTAATACTCTCAAGTGGAATATTCAAAACATTTTATTATTTTGTGGTTAATTATACACATCAATATACAATATCAAAGATGATAAGTACAGAATTCATGCTGTTTTCAGAGCTAGATTTTGTGTTATATGGGGTAAAGAGAAAAATATGTATCTCTACAAGTCATCAAGGAGTCTTCAGTGAAATCAAAGATAAATAAAAATGTTTAAAAAAATGATCAAATAATCAATTTATGTGGATATTAGTGCTTGTAAATATCAATTGTATGCAGGATTTTTATTGATACAAGTAGGTAAGTAATGACAATGATGATTGATTTACGCCCCAGAACTCAAAACTGAGTTTTATCCACTATACCTTTTATCTAGAAATTACGGATGTTTAAATATATGCTTCTATTTGTTAGCAAAGGCTGTAGGAAAGTATAGTTACTCTTTATTTAGAAAATATGGATGTTTTGCTCGTTAATTTTCCTGTTGGAACAGTGTAGATTGACCGTGAGATTCTGGGGCCTATCTGCTTTTGGCCACCCCTCAGTGTATATTGGTTATTACCTGGCCACTCTTATTAAAATTTCTGGCTACGCCTCTGACCAGCTCATCCGAGCGGTGGCGGTTAAACATCAAATTTACAAGGGGGCGGGCGGGACCAGCATTTTTTCATAGAAGACAAAGAGCACAAAAACAAACATACAAAAAACAGGTCAAGAGCGCATAGTTTACTGTATTAAGGAAGCCGCAAAGTCATGGCTGCAGACCCCAGATCCAACAGATTAAAAATTGTGATCCTATTTTAATACAACCAAAGCTTAAAGGTGACTTTAATTCCTAGTTATTTGTTCATTTGTTCATGAGAAATTGATTTAGATTGCAAACATTTATCTAACAATTACATGCTCAAATTAAGGAGAAAAAAAGTACTTATTTTAAGATTTTTTATTCCAAGATGTTATACGAAAGGAATGAATATTTGCAGTGTATGTTTTCAGAACAGCGAGTGCTGGCCCCTGCTGGCCCCTGTATAGAACTGCTTATGCCTTAGAGAAGGGATATTCTGGTTAAATTAGCAGTTCTGTTTAGCAGAACAGTCAAACACAAATATAAACACAAAGGGATGAGAAGTTACATGATGTGTGAAGTTTTTAAAAACACAGACATGGTAGAAGACCATCGAAAAGATGCAAACGCATTCACCTAACAGAACACACTGTAAAATTAGACCAAGGACCCCCCTGAAACACTATGTAGGTCTTTTTTAGTCCAGCTGCACATGCACCGGGAAGCACAGTTTCTGCTTGAAAACTGGACCCTAAGATGTAGTTTTCAGTGACTCTGAGAGTTGCTGCAGGGTGTTGAGAAATCACGTCTTTGTTTTCAACCTCTTCATCAACACAAAGCTCACTGTTCACGGCCTCCACCAGGCACCACATACTGTATACCACCACCATCACCCCCCCCCACCCTCACAAACATGTACACCAGTAGCTGTGTCTGTGAAAATCGAAGGAGCTCACGCTTTTTTTATCTCCTCCTACAGAATCCAATACAGGTCATTTAACATAAAGATCAGCTGCTTTAGGGGGTTTACAGAACTTCCCACCAAACTGTACATTTCCAAATAAACTGTTGTTTAGGTAAAGTCTGTTTATATAAAGAGCTTCCTATAAAAATAATAAATAAATATTCCTTTTTGCTCCTCTTCACACACACAACAGTTATGTCCTCAAGCTGAGGGTATGAAGGTGATTCTGAGCCACAGAGATTAATCTCTCTGTGTCATCGGTCTGTCCAAAGGGCTCCTGGTAGCAAATGAAACCATGACCAATTCCTTCTGATGAGGATCAATGTTGGAGTCCTGACTGTGTTCCCTGTGTGAGTACAACTATGAACATGTGAGGGTTGGAGCCGAGTTCTCCTGGTTTTCCTCCAATCAGATCAATACTGTACCAAAAACCAGCCCCTACATTAATCTAATGATTATACCATCGCTCAGGATCAAATAAAAAATGGAGGGAATTACCGTAACTTAAGGCGAACTATAAATTCCATGAACCAACCTTAAACAAACATCTGTCTTAACTAATTTAAAGCAAAGTATAAATTATAATTGAACAGAAATATCCCTGATTTACCGTTTTATAAGGTGAAAAATGTTGCATGTACACTAGAAAAAGCTTGTGAGCATGTTACATTAGCTGGTTGCGCTGCTGTTGAAGTAATATAAGGAATAAAGCGCAGTAGTTATAAAAGAGTAGAAGCAGAGGTTTGTTGTCAACTGATGGGGAGCTGCCCTTAGGTACGGTAAGTGTTACAATCGATTCATTTTATTGGATTGGGCTGGTCCTTGTGATCCATTTCTGGTTTGTGCCCAGGTTAAAAGGAAAAAAAAATATGGTGTGATGTGTTTTTGTTTTTTACTTTAGATGAGGAAATGTAACATAAACCAAGCTAATCAACAAAGAGTAAGACACTGGTTGTACTGACATAAGTATAAGAATCTCTGACAAAATGTAGGCCTAACAAAATGATTGAAAACTCCTGAGGCATTACGGTGGTTCTCCAGGGATTAACAAGGGTTTGTCTAAAGTTGTTTCAGAACTGACTGTTAACCTTTAGTTAATACTTTCAGATGGTTAGTTATAAGCAGAGTTATCATATTTTGTTTTGTTTAAGGTTGTGATTTATGAGTACACATTTCCAGATATAGGCGTGCTTTTCTGCTACCCAGTTTGGCTATATGAAAGTTCCTCATGAGAAAATAGGAGTCAGGAACTGAATGAGACAAGATCTGCATGATTGGAGAATGATTGAGTACGTGATAATGACCTGTTTAATGGTCATTTTTGATGTTCCAAATATTGTGGTGATTTGAAATGTTTTGTTTTTAATAAGGTGAGATAATAATAGTAATACTTAGAAAAGCACTCAGAGAGCACAGACCTCCTTCAAGTAGCTTATTTCCCTCGACATAGGACTATTGTGACTTCCACTTAAATTAATACCAGTAATCACAGAATTTTTCTAAAAATTCCTGGATCCAGATAGTGATGCGGATCATCACCAACATGTAATGGATGGTTCCTTGGAATTAAATGTACCTTTGGTAAAAATGTCATTAAAATCTGCACATGAAATTTCAAGTTATCTTGTACACATATAAGGAGACAAACACACAATCACACACACACACAGACTCTCTAAAAACATAACCTCCTTGGTGGAGGTAATAAAAATATGTATGATAAGATAATTCTGGAATAACCCCAGTATTTCATCTAACTAAATAAACAATTTCCAATAGGTTTGTAAAGCAAAAATCCTTAACTATTAAATTCATTTCATATTGTACATTCTAATGTTTTTAGAAGTGATTGTGATTATTGCTGTTTTAGAATCGTGTAAGATTGATAGAAGAGGAGAGGAAGAAAAATAGGAACATTGATGGAAAGAACAGTTGAAGATTCCCCAGATTTGATTTCAGAAATCTGATATTTAGATCCACTTAATTTAAACTGTGATCTAGGAGTAGAAGGTTAAAATAACATGAAGCAAACTTCAGTAACTAGAGGCTAACAGTAAACTGCATTAACAAAATAAGTATTTGCTGCACTTCTTTAAAGAGGTGGGGAAACTATGTTTCTACAGACAGACACAGGCATAGACTAAATGTTGGATAAATGTTTGCATTTACTTTTCTGGTTTTTGTTTTTCTTATGTCACTCTCCCCTTAGGGGGCAGCAGAGACCTTTAGGCCCCAGAAAACTGGAAAGTCCTAGTAACCACCTTTGACCTCTCACCCCCACCCCTTTCCTTCATCTCAGAGACGCAGTTCTAGTTTTCTTATAATAACACTATTGATTTATTCATTTTATTAATTTTATGAAATACTAACAGAATATAGGTCCATTCCTGGCTTTTACATTAGATTTTTGTTGTTTAAATATTAATAGATTTGCAAAAACATGAAACAATTACTGTCCCAGTTTTTGTGTATGTGTTTTTCCCCCCTATGAACTGGAAATGCCCTCAGATTTGATTTCAGCAATATGGTCATCTTATTTAGAAAATCTGTAAACCTAATTGTTAAAACAACTACAGACTAGCTTTTAATTTGGCTATAATAACTCTGAACTGGAAATAATTTAACTAGGAGTAGCAGGTCAAAATAACATTAAGCTACTTTCGGTTAGTAGAGGCTTTCAGTAAACCAACGTTCAGTTATAAACTAGCTGTATGGCAAATAAAACAAGTTTGAATTTAGTTTGAACTATTTTAGAGTTATATTATATACACTTAAACTGAATGTCAAGAGTAAATCACATAAAAAGCAACTGTAAATCCACCGATCCATCCATTTTCTGCTGCTTATTCTGTCAGGGTACGGTGGGGACGGTGCCAATCACCGGCAGTCTATGGACATAAGATGGTTACAACCTGGACAGGTCAGCGACTGTAAATTAAATTAAAACTAAATTTAACCTTGAACTAACTTTAAACATGCTTAACATAATGGTAAACTGCAGTTAACATAGCCTATAAGTTGTTATTCTCCTATTTATAACATGTATAATTATGTGTTTTATCAGTAAAGTAAAAATGTCATAACGTTGACAGAACAACTGATCTATATCTCCCATTTTGTTTGTTTCTCTGAGTTGACATCTCTTTGCATAGTACAGCTTCTGTGTATCTCCTAAACCTTCAGCCTCCAAACATCACGCAGAAACAGATTCCCTCTATACAACAACAGAACCAAACAGAACTCAGCAGAACCAGTCATCAACAGAGAAGCATAACAACTGTGAGACAGTGATGTTGAATCAAATCCTTCACCTTTGTCCTTAGTCGGACCTGCTGCTGAGAGGATGAAGAGATCCGCTTTGAATCCATACTGGATCCAGGTCCTTCTGGTGCTGAT